GCCCGAGCGCCCCCCCGTCCCTGCGCGCCCCCTCCCCAGCTTCGTGCGCCGGGCCGGGCACAGGCCCCCGCGTGGGGCAGCTGCCCCCAAATACCGCATGAGTCTCTCGGTACCGCCCCCAGGCCCCCTGCGCTCCCCCCAGGAATTAGGCGTCCATTGCGCCCATCCCCAAGGGGGTGCCAGCGCCGTATCCCTAGAGCCCCCCCCGTGACCCCCTCCCTCTCCGCGCACACACCCCCTGTTCCTAAGCGCATTACAGCACCCAGGGCGAATCTCGTGCTTGGTTGGAAGTTTACAAATCCAGCAGCGCCGGGGACATGGGGGGGGGGGGGCACAAGTGTTTGAGCGTCTCGGCGATTCGCTCTCTGCTCGGGCAAGGGGGGGCTGTTCCCGACGGATGCCGCCCGCCTCGCTCGGTCCGGGCCCTGCCCCGAGCCGGAGCCAGCTGGAGAAACTTTCAAAAAGTTTAAGTGTGTGAGGGAAAGTGTCTGAGCGCCCCCTTCCCTCCCCTCTGCCATCACAGCCCCCCACTAACACAGCTCCCCTCTCCTCCCCCCAACACACCCCCACTCTCCCCCCCCCAACACAGCCTCCCTTCCTCCCCCGCGGGTAACACAGCGCCCCCCCCAACACAGCCCCCCACCCAACCCACAAACCAAACATTGCCCCTCGCCGCAGCGCCCAGTGGCCCTGACACCCTGACCCGGATCTGCCCCACGAGCCCTGACCCCTGGGGGTTCTCTGCGGGGCCTACGGTGGGATCTGGTTTGGAAAGGCGCCTTAGCAGGGTATTTGGCCGTGGGGCGTGGGCCCCTTTTCCCGCTCTGTGTGGGGAGGGGACCTGGGAGGTCTGTGCTGGGTCCATGAGGTGTTGCTAGGGGCCTGGCGTGTCTCTGGGCCAAGCTCCCTTAGCCAAGGCGGGTGCAGCTGTAACGCTGAGGCCCTTTCTCCGAAGTGTCTGCTGGGCGTGGGAGTGCCATGGGGTGTGAAGGAGGTGATGGGCCCGGCTGCCAGGCTGGCAGTCTCCCCACGCCCAGGAGTCACTCCTCCTTTGCACCTGCCAGGCTCCTGCCAGCTGTCCAGGAGCAAAACTGACTGGAGAAGGTCTCAGGGCTGGTGCCAACTGGGCTCACAGACCCGGCTTCTCCGGGCCCTGGGTGACTGAGCGGCCGTGCCAGGGACTTCCCCGTGCTCTGGCCTTGTTCCTGGGGCCAAGAGCCTCGGCAAGGTCCCGCTCCTGCCCTGGGGGGTATGTTGTGAAATGGTCCGGGGGGGGGGGGTGTCTGAACGCTGCTTTGGAAGAACTGGCTGCGCCCCCGCCCCCAATCCGGCACCTGGGCCCCAGATGACAAGGAAAGTGAAAGCGCAGAGTCGGCAGCCCCAGCGCCAACCCTCCCCCTGCATCCTGGTCTGGGTTAGTTCCCCCCCTCTGCGGTGCAGGCCCTCGCTTCCCCTGCCAGGAAATCCTAGAGTGCAAAGGTGCTGGGGGGAGGGGGGGGACTGCTGGGCCTTGGATCCCCTCGGGGAGGGGGGGGGCCGTTGTGAGGCCTTAGCGTCCCGGCCTGGCCTACACCAGAGTCAACAGCCCCGGTGCTCAGACTGGTCCATGGGGCCTGACCCCCAGCCCAATGGATCCCTCCCCCCCCCTCCCCCGGTCTCCGACAGGCTTTGGGTCCGGCCCTAAATGAGCAGCGTTCTCGGGTCGGTAGGTCCTGGGGTGGGCGCATTGGTGCTGATTACAGCTGGGTCCAGCCAGGATCCCTGCTCCCCAGCCTGGCCCCTGCCCCCCACTGCCCTAACCACTAGGCCCCACTCCCCTGCCAGTGTGGGGGATGGACCCCAGGAGTCCTGGCTCCCAGCCCCCCCTGCTCTAACCAGTAGGCCCCACTCCCCTGCCAGTGCGGGGGATGGACCCCAGGAGTCCTGGCTCCCAGCCCCCCTGCTCTAACCACTAGGCGCCACTCCCCTGCCAGCGCGGGGGATGGACCCCAGGAGTCCTGGCTCCCTGAGCTAACTCATGAGCCCACACAGTTCAGTTAGTCCTTGGCTGGTTTAGGCCAAAGGGGCGATAGCTGCCTCTGGGTCATGTGACTCGTGGCTGGCCCCATGTGCTGTTATTGCTGGCTGGCTGGCCAGGAAGGGAGAGCGGGTCCCAGCCCAGCTGAGCACTGCCACGCTCCTGCCAGAGAGTGTTGAGCGTTCCCCGCTGGCAAGCGCCGCCCCCTGCCCTGTAGCCGGCCCGGGGGCTCTTGGGGCTGGCGGCCTGGGCCTCTGGGGCTCTTTCCCCGCACCTGTCCCGGGGGTTCTGAGCCGAGCCCTGGCAGGGAGGGGTTAACCCGGACGTGAGCTGGGCCCGGGCGTTCTGGCCCTGCCTGGGGCTGGCACCGAGCCAGGCAGTCCTGCTGCGTGCCAGGCCGAGGGCGTGTGCGTTACCAGTGACGCCATGGCGGGGGCTCTGCCCATGGGGCTCGGTGCCCTGGGGGCCTGAGGCAGCTGTGTGAGCCCACAGCTGGGCTGTCCCTGGGTACCACGGGGCACCTTCCTGAGGGGGATGGTCCTGTGGTGCCTCCCTTGCGGGTGGCTGCTGCATGGCGCGGGGGGGGGCGTAGACATGCCCGTCTGTCCCGCCGTGTCTGTTTGACTCCAAGGATTGGTGCTCAGGCTGGGAACTGTCTGGCTCTGTCGGTACATCAGCCCCTCCGCTGCCCACGGCACTCCCGGCAGGACTCCTGGGTCCCCGGGCAGCCTGCCCGCGCAGGGGATCCCAGGGCAGGGAGGTCGGGAGGCTCCGGCTGATGCAGAGCGAACTCTGCCCCATGCCTGCCTTGGGTCAACACGCCGAGTAAACAGCTCCCTGGCAGCTGGGAGGGGAGTGGGCCGGGCTGCCTCCCGGGCTGGGGGGGGGCAAGGCCCTAACGGGGCCGACTCTGAGCTGGGGCCTCAGCCCAGCTCCCTCCCCCCCGGATTCACCCCCACAGCACGGGCGTCTCCCTGGTGTTCGGCCCCAGCCCCCGGTGCACATTGACTAAGGGGCCGGGCGCTCAGTCTGTCTGGATCCCGGGTCAAGCGGCCAGGCGGCAAATGCTGCCTGGAGCCCTGCCCGGGGGTGGGGAGTGGTGGATCGGGGCCAGTCCCTGGGGTAGGAAAGGCCTGGGGACAGCCCTGACTCTGCCTCTGGATTAGCGGCGGGTGCGGCGCTGACGCCCCCTCCCCATGGAGCCTTTCACTCCCCCGGCAGCCGCCTAATTGCCCGGCTTAGAACTCACCTGGGCGTGAAATCCCATTACCCAGCTCCCCGCGCTGGAGCTGTTCCCGGAGCCGGCCTCACGCAGAGCCCAGCGGGGGGGGTACGAAGCCTGGGACCTGCTGGCCTGAACCAGGGGCTGCACAGGGCAAGGCTGAGCTGGGAGCCAGGACTCCTGGGTTCTCTCCCCAGCTCTGGGAGGGGAGTGGGGGCTAGTGGTTAGAGCAGGGGGGGCTGGGAGCCAGGAATCCTGGGTTCTCTCCCAGCTCGGGGAGGGGAGTGGGGTTTAGTGGTTAGAGCAGGGGGGGTGCCGGGAGCCAGGACTCCTGGGTTCTCTCCCAGCTCTGGGAGGGGAGTGGGGGCTGGTGGGTTAGAGCAGGGGGGGCTGGGAGCCAGGACTCCTGGGTTCTCTCCCCAGCTCTGGCACTGACCCTGTGGGATGCCAAGCATAGTTCTTTTGCCTGTCTGTGCCTCAGTTTCCCATGGGGAGACCCCTACACACACGTGGGGGGTAACATCCTTTCCCCTGTCCCCGCCCTGTCCAGGCTACGGCTACACCACGCCACTCTCGGACTCCGGCAAGGCCTTCTGCATCTTCTACGCCCTGCTGGGGGTGCCCTTCACCATGCTGGTGCTGACGGCCACGGTGCAGCGCCTGGCCCGGCTCTTCACCCACCGGCCCCTCGAGTACCTGCAGCTGCGGTCTGGCTACAGCCACCAGGCGCTGGCCCGGGCCCACTTCCTGCTGCTGCTGCTGGCCGTGCTGGTCACCTTCTTTCTGCTGCCAGCCGCCGTCTTCAGCACCCTGGAGGGGACCTGGAGCTACCTGGACGCCTTCTACTTCTGCTTCATCTCGCTGTGCACCATCGGGCTGGGCGACTACGTGCCAGGCGAGCAGCCCGGCCAGAAGCTACGTGCGCTCTACAAGGTCTCAGTCACCGGTGAGCAGTGGGCCGGGGGGAGCCCTGGGGGGCAGCTCCGAGCGAAGTCAGGCAGGACCCTCGTCCTGGTGCGTCTCCCCTCGGGGCACCGGCACCAGGGCAAGGAGCCTGCTTGGATCTGACCTGGGAGCGTTCAGCCCCCTGGTTCCCCGCAGGGACGCCTGGGGGAGCCTCGCACCCCCCCAAAGAGCCCTGCCCCCCACTCCCCAGTCAGCCGTGACTCAGCCAGCGTGGAGAACAGGTTTATTAGTCACCAGGACACTGCGGAGGACAGAACTCGTTAGCACAGGCAGCAGGAAGCTACAAAAAAGGCCGGGGGGGGGGAGGAGGGGCTAT